CCCAAGTAGCTGGGACCACAGGTGCCCACCACAACACCCGGATATTTTTTGGTTGCAGTCATCATTGTTGTTTGGCAGGCCCAGGCTGGATTCAAACTCGCCACCTTGGGTGTATGTGGCTAGCGCCTTAGCCACTTGAGCCACAGGTGCTGAGCCTAAGGCAATTCTTAATAATAAAAACAAAACTGCGGTTATCTCCCTACCAGACTTTTGGCTATCCTACAAGGCCACAGTAATCTGAAGAGCATGTATTGGCACAAAAATAGAGACATAGATATTTGGAACTGAATAGAAAAACCATAAGATGAAACTAATCTCTTACAGCCATCTGATCTTTGATAAACCAAACAAGAAGATAAACTGGGGAAAAGAATCCCAATTCAATAAATGGTGTTGGGAGAACTGGATCACCACATGTAAATGACTGAAACTGGACCTGCACCTCTCACCACTTACAAAAATTGATTCAAGATGAATAAAAGATTTAAATCTAAGGCATGATACAATAAAAATCCTTGAAGAAAGTGTGGGGAAAACACTTGAAGATATCAGCCTAGGGAAAGATTTAATGAAGAAGACTTCTGTGGCTATTGCAACAACAACAAAAATAAAGAAATGAGACTTAATCAAACTGAAAAGCTTCTACACAGCTAAGGCAAACAGACAACCTTCAGTATGGGAGAAGATATTTGCATATTACTAATTGGACAAAAGCTTGATAAGTAGGCTCTACAGAGAACTTTAATCAACAAGAAAAGACCCAACATACAACCCTATGTCTGTATATCACTAGACAAGAGACATGAATAGAATCTTCTCTAAAGAAGACAAAAGAATGGCTAATAAACATATGAAAAATGCTCATTGTCCCTAATCAACAGAGAAATGCAAATCAAAACTACCCTAAGATATCATCTAACCCCAGTGAGAATGGCCCACATCACAAAGTCTCAAAGCTGCAGATGCTGGCATGGAGGTAGAAGAAAAGGGAACACTTACCCTGCTGGTGGGACTACAAACTAATACAACCTTTTTGGAAGGAAGTATGGAGAATCCTCAAATAACTCAAATTAGACATCCTATTTGATCCTGCAATCCCAATACTAGGCATCTACTCAGAAAAAAAAATCCTTTTATCATAAGGACATTTGCACTAGACTGTTTATTGCAGCTCAATTTACAATTGCCAAAACATGGAAACAACTGAAATGCCCACCAACTCGGGAATGGATTAACAAGCTGTGGTATATGTATACCATGGAATACTATGCAGCCACTAAAAAAGATGGAGACTTTACATCTTTTGTATTAACCTGGATGGAGGTAGAACACATTCTTCTTAGTAAAGCATCACAAGAATGGAGAAGCAAAAATCCAATGTACTCAATTCTAATATGAAGGCAGTAGATAAGCTAATACAAGGGGTGGGATGGGGAATGAGCAAGTGGGGAGAAGGGAAGAGGACTGGGGGGGCATGGTGTATAGCACACCACTTGGGGGTAGGACACAATTATAAGAGGGACTTCACCTAACAAATGCAATAAGTGAAACCTAATTCTTTTGTACCCTCAATGAATCCCAAACAATAAAAATAAATAAATAAAGAGGAAGGAGTGAGTTATGGTAAAGATAGTGATGAAGATCTTATGGAGAAATGCTGATAATGAATAAAGACCATTTTTCTGGAAAAAAAGGAAATTAAAACTATTTTTATCTGAGCCTGACCACATTGTAGGGTTCATTCTCTGGACACATCTCTACATAAAACCACCCCTCCCCTACCCCCCTCACACTCTCCCCATCCCAGGCAACTCTCCCCATCCCTGTCAACTGAGCCCTGTGGGAAAGGAGTGCATGAAGGGGTGCAGAGAAACTGTCAACAGTGTCTGTGCTCCACACGTGAGGAACAGGGGCACTGGAGGGAAAATTCATACTGTCTGCCTATGTGCCCCAAGTTATGCCAACTGGAGTGGGGTGGAGTCTCCCTGAGGGGAGAGGCAGTGGAAGGGTGGGAAAAGTATGCTAATATATTACACTTAGTTTAGCACTTTTTTTGGCAGTTGTTTTCCAGGTGTTTCATTGACGTGTCCTATTTGCAGCTAGACTGCAAATTCCTCAAGTGCAAGGATGAAGTTTATGCTATAAATCTTTAATCTCCTACAGTGTTTAGCTCTGCTTCTCCTGCAGATGCTTAATCAGCATACTGTTGATTAAAATTACGATCTGCTTTGGCGGGGGAAATGGTGTGTCCTTGCAACAATTACAATAAAAGGTTTATGTGAAAGTCCTGTAGGGAAGAGTTAATTTAAAATATTTAATACTGGCCCGGTGCCTGTGGCTCAAATGTGTAAGGCGCCAGCCACATACACCTAAGGTGGCGAGTTTGAATCCAGCCCGGGCCCTCCAAACAACAATCATGGCTGCAACCAAAAAAATAGCTGGGCATTGTGGCGGGTGCCTGTGGTCCCAGCTACTTGGGAGGCTGAGGCAAGAGACTTGCTTGAGCCCAGGAGCTGGAGGTTGCTGTGAGCTGTAATGCCACAGCACTCTACCCAGGGGGACAGCTTGAGGCTGTGTCTCAAAAAATAAAATAAAATAAAATAAGATATTTAATACTTATGCACTATGAGCCAAGGGTCTTCCCCCACATCCCACCCCACCATGCCTCATGGGAGCCACCCACCTTGCTAGTTTGACCAAGATAGAATCCTGAGCTGGAGAGCCCCTCATCACTGCTGGAATCAAGCATTGCTTCTTCTGGCGACAGGGCCCAGAAGTCTTTCTCACCTAACTCTCCGGAACAGTAGGCCAGAAATTATGGATAAAACACCCATCTCCCTTTCACCATCCTACCACCCCAAGTGAAAGCAATTCTTCACTGCTGAACAATAAGTCACACCAACATTCAATGTCTGCTACTCCCAGTCGGCAATCAGCTTGCACTACTTGTCCCAAGGATCTTCAACTCAGCCTCAGGATCATCTTTGGCAGGGTCCTAGTGCTCCTGTATGGCCTTGGAGAATGTGCGATCTAATGACCAGTTTCAGAATGAGCCTCAGAGTCCTAACCCTGGCATGACTCTCAGACTGGTCAACCAGAAGCTTGAATAGTCAACACCTAGATGGGAGTTTGGTTCTGAAAACTGACTTTTACAAAACTCAAACTTGCTTAAAATTCACTTAGTCTCAAAACCCAATGAGAGAGAGAGAGAGTTGGCTAATGCTAAATTATACTTCAACCAGGCAGAAGGACAAGCTTGTGAATAGTCTTGGACTACCTTCCCTTGTTTGCAATTCTTGTACAAAATATACCAAGAAAACACCATTCTAAGATAAGGAGGAAAGTCATCGATATCCTACGATGCTTGCTCAGCAACCCAAGTGCCTTCCAAGTATGCAACCAGAGTAGAGTGCTTCTGGGGATCCCTTAGCTATGGTGCAAAGAAGAGCACACACAGATAAGACTCAGTCCACCCTGGGAAGCTTCCCTGAGCCATGGATGAGGCTAGCTCACCTTGGATCCTAGCCTTCTGTTGATTATTGCTGCCCCTCTACAATCAATAGTTGCTTTGCCTGACTTGTAGTGCAGGTTCTCTGTCTCTTCAAACTCATACACTGGCAGCTGGGTCTGTGCAAAACCTCCTATCAGATCTAGAAGGTTGCCAAAAATAGGAACCTTAGTAGAGGTTAATGAAGTGGCCGGGCATGGTGGCTCACCCTTGTAATCTTACCACTTCAAGAAGCCAGGGTGAGTAAATTGCTTGAGCTCAGGAGTTCAAGATCAGCCTGAGCAAGAGCAAGACTCTGTCTCTACTAAAAATTAGAAATATTAACCAGGCTCTGTGGCAGCCTGTAGCCCCAGCAAGTTGGGAGGCTTAGGCAGAAGGATCACTTGAACCCAGGAGTGTGAAGTTGCTGTGAGCTAGGCTAACACCACAGCACTCTAGGCTGGGCAACAGAATGAGACTCTGTCTCAAAAATGCATAGACACATATGTACATACACACATAAAAAATAAGTTAGTGGTGTTTAGACTTCTCCCCTAGGATTTGTAGTGGGTACATGGAGTTCCCCTCCAGGGACTGATACCTATGCTTAGTATTCTGCTTAACAGAGCCCTTGGTGGTATAGATAAGCACCCACTCTTTGCACAGCAGCATACGTCATGGTGACCAGAATGTCCACGCATGCCAGGAAGTAAGGATCTCCTTTGGGACAATATTAGAGACTCTCTAAATTCTTAACTCACACCCATCTTCATCCTAAATTTGATGAGCTTATAGCTCCTTCCTTTCTTCTGAATTATTCCATCACATTTTCAGCATATTTTTCAGCATTTTTTAAATATGGAGCCAGTGTTACATCATGTACTGACAAATAAAGATCATTAAACCATGATAGCAGGGACCCCAAGAGAGATGGATGTCCTGCCCTTCCCTTGGCATTGCCTTCCAAATTTTGTCTCCACTGTACTTATAGAATAGATGCACTTGGCCTCTCATGGATCCTGGCAGCTTGTGGCCTCCCAAGGATCCTAGCAGCCAAGCCTACTCCAGGATCCCCACAAATCTGACTGATAGGAACTTGTCTGACACCTTTGCTAAGTTGCATTGATTGTTAGTGAGCATGTGGTGTGCTGTTGTCTCTTCTCTTAATTGTACTATCTTTGGGAGTAAATGCAGAGGAACTTGGAATACCCTCACCTCTCTCCATCCACATCAAGCCAAGGGCCAGAGCAGTGGATGACCATCTTGATTTGTAGTCAGTTATATCCTCTGGCTCTGCTGCAGAGCAAATTCATTCTTTCTGTTTCTGCTAACCTCCAACTAATATCTAACCATCACAACCTTTATACCACATTTATCAGCCTTAGCAAAGAGAAACCTGGACTTTGAAACTTATTTGGCAGAGTTGACTGCCCAGAGAGGTTAAAGACCTGCCTAGCCAATCGTACCAAAGTTGATGACATTCTTTAGAGCCACAACTAATACATGTCTATTGTCCTGTTTTCAGCATCATAAATGATCATCAAACTGAGCTAGAATATTCATACCTGTTACTGCAAATTCAAAACCCAAGGACTTCTCCTGGGAATTTCTTTTAGTATAGGGTCAGGCTGCCTAGGACAAGACTGCATTTATTCAATGTACTTTATGTTACTGTACTCAAGCAATAAGATTTGAAATCTGATTTGCAGTTCTTGTTCTTAGGCATCTAGGAAACTTTCCAGCTCAGTAAACTATACACAAATAGACAATGTAATGGGTATAGGATAGTGGCTTTTAAACTTTTTAGTTCCACAGTAAGAAATAATACATGTTAAATGGTAACTTAATACACAAATCACACACACACACACACACCTCTATGTCACTGAAACAAAAGTTTCTTTAAACAATACTGCCTTGGCTCAGCGCCTATAGCTCAACTGGCTAAGACGCCAGCCACGTACACCTAAGGTGGTAGGTTCGAATCCCCAGCCAGGGCCCGCCAAACAACAATGACGGCTGCAACCAAAAAATAGCCGGGTGTTGTGGCAGGCGCCTGTGGTCCCAGCTACTTGGGAGGCAGAGGCAGGAGACTCGCTAGAGCCCAGGACTTGGAGGTTGCTGTGAGCTGTAATGCCACAGCACTCTACCCAGAGGGACAGCTTGAGGCTCTGTCTCAAAAAAAAAAAAAAAAAACTGCCTTAAAGGAAAATGCATGTGAAAATGATTTAGTAGGAATTGTTTCCAGGGAAAATGATTACAGAAGCAGGAAGTAGGAGCAGAAAGGGGCCAAGAATGGGTACAACATCAAGGCAAGTCCCACAGAGGGCAATTTTGACTCCTTTTCACAGAGGGCTTGGGGGACATTGTAGGTCACACCTCAAAGTCATCCCAAAGAGAAGGCAGAAGACCTGGAATGTGCATATCCGCACCCCATCAGTCACTGATTAAAGGACTTATATTCCTAAGCACTTCTGGCTGTCCTACACCTTCCACCAAGCTGCCTTGGGGGAAAGAATGGACTCTGGAATTGAGCTGGTGACATAACCAGAGCAGGGACAGCTCCTGCACAAACACCCTAACTGTGGGTAACAAACTGTGCAGAGAATAAAGCAACTCTGTGTTGGGTTCGTTCTCACATGCTGTGCCAACTTCTAATCAATCCCTGATGCCTCTACATTTCCACTTCATCTATTGTCACCATAAATCCTACCAAAATATATGAAAGAGCTCTAATTAACTGGCTTTATTTTAAGTCATCAAATATTTTATCAGAAACTAATTCAAATGCCTTTTAGTTCTTGTGACTTCAATAATCTTAATAGGCTAGGCAAGGTGGCTCAGCCTGTAATCTAAGCACTTGGAAGGCCAAGGCAAGAGTATTGCTTGAGGCCAGAAGTTTGATATCACTCTGTGCAACATAGCAACATCTCTACAAAACTTTTTTTTAAATTAGCTCAGCGTGGTGGCACATACCTGTAGTCGCAGGTACTCAGAAGTTGAGACAAAAGGATTGCTTGAGTCAAGGAGTTTGAGGTTGCTGTGAGCTATGATGAGGTAATAGCCTGATCAACAGAGTGAGATCCTGTTTTAATTTTTTAAAAAACCTTTGGTTAATAAAACTATTTTAAAGTTGTTAAAGTAAAATAGAAGTGTCTTCAGAATTGTCAGTGTTAAATATAACTCAGACATTTTCACCTGCATCTGCTGGTCAGACAGGTTTGGGCTATCTTTGCGAGATGTCTTAAGATCATTAAACAGTGGCTTCCATGAGGACCCAGGACCACGAGGATCAGGGAACCAGGTGCGCAGCATCCTGCAACCACGTGCTGAGCTTCTCCTTCCCCATCCCACCTGACGATGGCTCCTGGGAGATCATCAAAGGCTGCCAGACCTAGCGCAGCCAGCCCCAAACGCCCTCAAGAGAGGTGACCCTTACAGCGCTGATGCCAGTGAAGATGAAGTATTAATAAAAACAAACTAACTTCCTTCCTTCTTTCCTTCCTTCCTTCCACACTTCTGGTGACATATATGGCGTGCGGTAGTTGATGTGCCATTTGGGGGGTGCTAAAGCTGGTGTTAAGCTCAATCCTATGAACCATACAGACAACGAATTAGAAAAGATCACAAGGAGATTCACCATGGAGCTAGCTCAGATTGGTTTTACTGGTCCTGGCATTGATATGCCTGCCCTGGATATGTCCTGGATCACTGACACCTATGCAGCACCACAGGGCACTGTGACATTAATGCACATGCCTAGTTACTGGTAAGCCCATCAGTCAGAGAGGTTTCCACACTATATCTCTATATGGTGGTTTACATGGGATTGAAAACTACATCAGTGAAACCTCTTATGTGAGCATTTTGGGAATGACACCAGGGTTCGGAGATAAAATATTTATTGTTCAGGGACTTGGCAATATGGGCCTGCGCTCTATGAGGTATTTACATACATCACTTTGGTGGTAAATGTGTTGGTGTCAGTAAATCTGAGGGGAGTATATGGAATCCTGATGGTACTGAACCAAAGGAATTGGAAGACTTCAAATTGCAACATAGATCCATTATGGGCTTCCCCAAGGCAAAACCCTGTGATGGTAGTGTTGCAGGAAGACGAGGTCCAATGGAGAAAATGAGCACCTAAACACCACGTTTATAAGAGGAAGGGCTTTATTCACCAGCCGGGAGCTTACAGCATAGAAGAATTCCAATTGGCCACACTTCCTGACTGGCTTGGTCTTTCCCTTTTTATCAACAGTCAAACAGTTCCACCCCACAGGTACCCTTCTCATTGGCCAGTTTGAATCAAGCAGGAGGTGCTATTCCAGCCCCTACAGAACTACAGGATTTCACAGAAGTTGGAAATTTCCAAGTTCTAGGAAGTTAAGTTTACAAATTCCCAAGAGCTGAGTCACCATAGAGAGGACCCCTGCAGGTGTATCCTTGTGGTGTCCTTGAGAAGACCTGTTCTCCTAGACCTCAACCTTTTCGGGTATCCTCTCTCAGTAGCACCTTGGAAGCTGACAGTGACATACTCATCCCTGTTGCCAGTAAGAAGCAGTTAACCAAATGTACCCAGAGTGAAAGCCAAGAAGGTGACAGTGGACCAACAACTCCAGAAGCTGATGAGATCTTCCTAGAGAGGAACATTATGGCCATGCCACTGCCAGAGGAGTGACAGTATCTTACTTTGAGTGGCTGAAGAATCTGAATCATGTCAGTGATGGCTGATTGACCTTCAAATAGAAAGGGTTTCTCATTACCATTTGCTCATGTCTGTTCAAAAGAATTTAGAGGGCAGTGCCTGTGGCTCAGTGAGTAGGGCACCGGCCCCATATACCAAGGGTGGCAGGTTCAAACCCGGCCCCAGTCCACCTGCAACAAAAAATAGCCAGGCGTTGTGGTGGGTGCCTGTGGTCCCAGCTACTCGGGAGGCTGAGGCAAAAGAGTCGCCTAAGCCCAAGAGCTGAAAGTTGCTGTGAGCTGTGATGCCATGGCACTCTACCGAGGGCAACAAAGTAAGACTCTGTCTCTAAAAAAAAAAAGAATTTAGAAAGCACGGTGGAACTATTCCCATTGTATTCTACAGAGTTTCAAGACAGGATATTGGGTGCTTCTGAGAAAGACAGCATGCACTCTGGCTTAAAATATGCAATGGAGTCTTCTGCCAGGGCAAGTTATGCGCACATCCGTGAAGTATGACCTGGGATTGAACCTGAGAACAGCGGCCTATGTCAATGCCATTGAGAAAGTCTTCAAAGTATAAAATGAAGCTGATGTGACCTACACAAAGGTGGATCGTGACTGACTTCCTCACTAGCCTCTTCACCTGTAACTTCTGCAGACTTATCACAAGTTTACATGTAACCACAAAAATCTCTTTCTCTCCTGACTCATTAGATAATAATAGACACCATTCTGAACAAGTCAAACCAAATCAGCCATGTAAGAAGAAAGTAATTAGTGTTAGGAGATCATGTACAATCTGATGAGTATGAAAGTAGATATCACCTATAGATAGCCATTTTAGGTGTTGTGACTTGAAATAAAAATCCTCTCACTCTGGCTCTTCCCAAGACAGTCATTGCTATTGCCAAGGAAGGCACAGTCAAAAGCAGTCAGCTGCTTGCTGCTTTTGCTCTAAGTCTAGGGAGTGCTGTAACTTAAACACATTTAAGAAGTAAGTGGGGGGGGGGGAAGTAGGTGTGTGGCATTTTCAGAAGGTGGCATGGTCCTCAAGTAAGTTATTGGTATTTTATATCAGCAAAATAATTCAATTTTACAGATTACAAACAAAACTAAAAGCAGCTTCTGTTTAAGAAAAAAAAAGAGAGAGAGAAGGCTAAGATTACAATGAGAAAGCTTACCAGCAATTGCCTGAGATAAAGTGAGGCGGTTAATCAAAATAAAGATTGATAAAAAAGCCCAGTCCTTTGGCTCAACCCCTTGCTGATACCCCAAATCATTTTTGCCAAAAGAGGATAAAATGATCTAGGGGTGGAGAAGAGAAGTTCCTAGGGCTAGGACATAAAAATGTAAAGATTGATAGGATTATGAAAGCTGAAACAGGCTCGGTGCCTGCGGCTCAAGTGGCTAAGGCGCCAGCCATGTACACTTAAGGTGGCGGGTTTGAATCCAGCCCAGGCCCGCCAAACAACAATGATGGCTGCAACCAAAAAA